AAAAAATAACTAAAATTATATCTGAAGGATACATAATTCTCATTTTCGTATAAAAAAAATACTTTTCTAGTTGCATTTGTTGCATTGACATCATCCAATTTATCTTGCACCAACTTGCAAAAGAGCACGCGTAGTGAAATCTATTCCTAATCGATAAAAATCAAGCTCTTTGTTTACGCAATTGCTTTCTACGAATAGTAATTCCCTCTTTACACATCGCTTCCTCTAATTTGTCGTGGCGTCATCACACTGCCTGACGATTTATCGAGCTATATAAGCGCGTGACCGCGTCATAAGTCACGATAAACTTTTCGTTCAGGATACAGATCGACCCGGAACGACCCTGTCATGCAGTTATCTATTCGTGCGTTATCTGAAAACACCAACATAAGATAACTGTTGCTTTTACGAGAAAACAGAAGCGACGGGAAGGGAAAAGAAGGCGTTGCCAGTAGATTTGAACTGTGCTCGGATATAAAGTGACCGCCTTGTCGGACAAGCCGACAGTTTGTCTCGTCAGCAATATTAGTTGTCTCCTTGGAAGGACATCAGCTGAAAAACATCATCTTGCGTGAGTATGCTCACTTATATATTAGCTGAATACGCTTTGTACAGCCGCAGTATGCGTTCTGCAGAGTTCGGCGGTTGAAATCAGGCGGAAAGAGATATTAATATCTTAAATATGTGATTTTCTGAAAATATTGTGCTAAAGAGTACAAAACAACAAAGCACGCGATTATATTATAATTTTGCATTGCATGCAACTGTACGACAACTGACAACTCGTGGAAACAGTGGACATAATTTTGAAATGCCAGGTAAATTGAGAGTTTGTTTCCGTACAAACAAAATATTTTCTTTTATGTCTATAAGATATAAGCAATACAATTTATTGGGTACCGCGATTTATCTGATATTGTGCGCATTAATTAATAAAAAACCAGTTTTTTTCTTGAAATAGCACAAAAATTTGCATTTTTGTAATTATTTAAAATAAATGATTGATTTATTTTAAATAAATTATTTAAAATAAATCAAATCAGGAACAATTCATGAACTACTTGCCCGAAGAACGCGCGTGTCAAACATTAATATATGCCTAATCATTGCGTTCAAATAATTTTCAAAACCAAAAATTAATTCTGCAATTTTTCAAAATTTGAATTATATATAAATTTATATATAATTTGATAATCATAGCACAAAAAGTATATATACAATTACAATATAATTTTTTATCGCTGTAAATATAAAATTCTATTTTAGATTTATATTATTTAATAATTTTAGGTCAAATTAATTTTATAATCTTATTGTTAAATTTGCGAAATTTAAAAGTTTAAAAATTACTTCATTATCAATATTCGATAAGCATTGAGTGTTAGAATAAAGTTTACATTTTTACTTTAGATGGCTCTGTATGTGCTGAATATGCTACGCAGTTTCACAAGAATGCATATGCGCATTTTCTATTTAACAAAAGTCGACATTTAAAAGAATTTAACACACGTAAATTTTAACGTATTTTATTTTAAATAAACTAGAAGTAGATATAGAAATGTAAGCAGATAAAAGACCTCTTTTTTATTATTAATAAAAAAATAATTAAAATTATTCTACGCATAAAAACTGATCACAATTATGATCAATTTATAATTATATTAATAAAAAATTTCAAGTGTTAAAATTAAATTGAAGAAAGTTCTACTTGTAAATTTATATGAATTGCAAAAAGGAAACGGGAATAAGGGTGGGAGAGAATGGAATTGCATAGTCAGTGCAACTATTTTCTTTGGAGGGGAGAGATATGTCATGGAGAGAGATGAGGAAAGGGGCGAGGTAACCCATAGGAACATCGTACGAAATGGTTAAACCATCACGCTCGTATCACGTGCTCGTTTAACCGGCCTGCGTCTTTACCGCTTCTTGCTTGCGCTCCAAACACAAAGCGCTCAAGTCGATTTACTTCGAAGCCGCTTCATCCTGACTTATTTCTAATAGCAATAATTCGATAAATCTTGTACGAAATTTTTGGCATTATTAGTTTCACCTTTATGCATTATAATTATTTTATTTTAAAAAATCTAAAAAATCCGGATAATTAAAGTTACGATAAAAAATTTGTTTAAATTATTTAAAACCGATTAAATAAGCTCTATAACAGCTTGCAAGCTTTGTCAAAAAATTTTCCTAACAATAAATAAACTCTGAATTAAAATTAAAGAATTTATGATTATAAATAGAGTTGATGACTTTGAAATTATCTTATATATTTTACCCATTAACTATTTTCTTATTATTTAAGAAAGTTAATCAGAATTCATGATATTATGTCACTAAATACATAATCGCCAGACAAAGCAGACGTAAAGTTAAATGACCGATGTAATTAACGCCGTGTTGAATGTCATTGAGACATTTCTCATGCTAAAGAGTAGCTAGTGTATGTAGTTAATACAAGTACATAGTGCGCAAGTAAGCGCAGTAACTTCCGCACTGAAAGGCGCATGCGTTAATAGGAGGGTAGGAAAACTGATCGAGCGAGCAAGGACAGGGTGGGAGAGTCGAATTCGGGTGGTCGATGTGGCAAGATCAGCTGCTCAGTGCTGTGCTTGTTTGCATTAATACGTAGAGAAAATTCGCCGGAACCGGTATCGAGACATTTCGCATATTCTCGGAAGGGCTCGTAATTACAGAGTGCTCTAAGGGTGCAAAAAACGCGAAAGCGAGTGGTCGCGCGAGCCGGTAATCGGGTGATATTGATCCGGGGTGGTTATTTGACACACATATATATATATATATACACAGTCAGTGCGCACCGACAGTGTTCCTGCGAGGAAAATAGTCGTCGCCGTCGATTTAACTTCCGCGAGCAAGCCGGGCTCTCCCCGCGGCCCCGCTCGACGTTTACTTCAGACAGAAAAAAATGGGCGTTGAAGTATTCGACTGCCTGAATAATTATCTACGAGTGGAACGTTGCAAGAAGACGTATCTAGGTAAGCCCGGCGACGCAGATGACGCGGCGCGTCTTCGTCGTGCGTTCACGCGACGAGAAAGTTCCGCGCTGTCACAGAGAGACTGTCATCGATTAGTTAGGACTTCAGTTAGCGTTAATTGATTTTTTCGAGGAATAAACCGTCGTGTAATTCTGCGCAAAGAAAAAACGTCGAATATTGATATCAATTTTATCAACCCTGAACTTCCTTGCCGCACTTTTAATGCAATCTAAATTGAAAGGTAAATAAACAGAAAAGAGGTTTTTGAATCTGACAATTAATTTTCCACTTATCTCCAGTAAAACGATAAAACGAAAGCGTTTACTAACATTTTTGAATCGCGCTTGTTGTGTTAAAAATCGTTATCAGTGTGCTTTTGCTTCAAGTGTTATATTTAGTATATCGGTTAAAAGTTTATTCGATAACAAATAAACTTTAAGCCTTGTCTTATATTTCGTTTAATTCTCTCTGCTTCAAACTCATGCGCGAATAAACGAAGAATTATCAAGATTGCTCCAAAATATGCAATATTGCTTGTTCAAACATTGTTGTATCTTTGCACTGTTAGCGGCATCGATCGGTTCTTTTTATAAACTCTCCTTCGATAGGCCTTCAGCAGTTTTATCATCAAGGTTTCACTTAGTCGAATAAATGTCAAAAGATTATATACGCGATCTTTTATGCTATCATTTATTGGCAATGATACCTTTCGATTAAATCCTCATTTATCTCTCCGTTAACATTCGTACGCACATGAGCGCGCCTCATATAGGCACACGGTGCTATTTTGCACGCGAATCACTTGACAGTAATTTAATAAAGTGTATCTGCAATTTAATGGGTACGTTGGACAATCTCGAATGTCATGCACGAGCAGAGCGATTCTTTTCAGTGCCGAATTTAAAAGCATCGTTCAACTTGCCTGTTTTTAAAGGCGCCGTTACTATTTTTAAAGTTTGTTTGCCAACATTAAAAATATACTCGCACCATTTGTCTTCGCTCAAGCAGAACTCTGTCAAAATTTAACAGAACATACATAAGCGTGTATGGTTTTCATGGCACACCTTATATATATTTATGGCGAAAGTAGTGGAAAAGTACTGGGCGGATTTATAGGGGACAGCACGGAAGTGGCAGGATTTAGTTCTAAAAAGACCTAAGAGGACCCTTTACGATCCTTTATAAGAGACAAAGTTTCTTATAATAATTCCAGAAAGATACAGAATCGCACAGAAAAAACCAAGACCATTTATATCAATTTTGCTAAATATTATCAAATCAATTATAAATTTTAACTACAGTAAAAACAACGCGTTCTTGTTGGAGACAATAAAGAATTTTATACGCTAAAATTCTTTATTATCATGATAAGATTGCTAGATCAGCTCTAGTATTTGTCGAGTAGTACAACTGTTTAGGTTCAAAGCACCTTTACGATTTTTAATAAAATAATGATAATGCAGAAAGTAATTAGTGATAACAGAGAATATTTTTTAAA